CTCTCCCCGTCAGGGCCGTTTACGGTGATTCACTAAGGATCATCAGCCTGTATCGTGGAAACGTCAGATAGGATCCTGGGCTGAGCGAGAAGCACGGTGCCTTGCTCATACCCTTGACAGAAACTGATGTTCGACACAGCCAGGAAGGGAGAGTGGCCCCTCTCTATGATGTGACGACAGGTATCAGGCAATATGGCACTGTGGCATACACCGCTGCATTATCCCCGCACGCGCGTGAGATCCATGGTCTTGGAAGTCTGCTGCCAGAGGAGGTACGCGTCCCATTCAGCTTCTTCGAGGCCAGTCAAGTGGTAGAAAGAGAGATGAAGCACGGACCCGCCTGGAAAGCAATGACAGGTTCCCAACCTTCCTTCATCAAGATGGGTTTTCCAGAGACCTTAGGGCGGACTAATCGATCAGTATTTGACGTGCACTTGACAGACTTCAACGGCAGATATTTTGCCACCATGAGTGCGCGACACCTAGAGGCACATCAGCATTGGATCTTGCCAACGGGCCAAATATTTACGGACAATGTCCTGTTATGGGATAACATTTGGCAGATCTTTACTTTTTCCGAGTCGCCGGGCGACAAGCTGTCATGGCACGTCACGTATGATAGACGTCTGACCATGGTGCAAGTCGTAACCGCGGCCAAGACCGGGTGCTTTGACGTCCTGGAACCAAAACAGCAGGTCCGGGCTGGACGCAATGCTGGTATTATCGACGCCGAACTCTGTGTGGAAGTCCAGCAACAACCAGGCTGGGCAGACGACCTGTGTCTCGTGTGCCATATGGGACACAAATCAAGATACGGCATGATAGGCTGTGTCGTATGCCGGGAAGGAATAATACATGAGGCATCAATCGTACAAAATAACAAAATGAAGCCAGCGGTTGACTGGAGGGCCGCAGGGTTCCTCAGAGACGGAGGGCACCCAAGTCCGTACCATACACGTAACGACGGTTGGACCGTGTCGCGGGCAGCAGTGGTTCAGAATCCTGACAAAACGCAAGCAAAGTACCGCGAAGGCTGGAGAAAGGATACCTACGACGGAGCTTTTGCGCGTAACTATGCCGCTCTGGCGGGCAAGACAGCAACTCTTTCTGCCGAACGATCTGTGTTCGCCTGGATTCCGGCATCACCAAATGACAAGCGTCCTGCCCATGGCAACAAGGCGCGAGAAGTCAAGGCGCGCAAGCTGGCTCACCGATGGATGTCGTATCAGGTCTACCACAACCACCCGCCAGCGGGCAAACGGGCAATTTGCCCGCCGTGGGAGTGGTGGGCATATTTGTCCCGGCGTATAGACAAGACGGATCACGGTACGGACATGGGAATATTGAATCTCTTCGACTGGGACACAACAGACCCCAATGCCATTGATCTCGTTGAACCCACATGTGGATGGCGTCGATGGTGCCACGATAGCCGAGCTAACCTCCCAGAGGGTCTCGATCGGCTCTTGGATTCTATAGAAAATGAAATCGAGACTTACTGGAGGCCCGGAGAAGAATCGGCCGCCCCAGAGGAAGGTGGGAACAGGGCGGGGCACGATCGAGAAGCGCGTATACCCCGTGCCCCCTCCAATCGGCCGTCATCGCGTGCTGCTGTCAGGCGGGCCCGCTCCACCAGCCGGCGGAGGATTCGGTCCGCAGATGCGCCGATGGCGTTCAGGGGCCGCGCAATGCGCAGGCGGACGGGCTCACGCGCCCCCAGCAGGGGTCGGGGCGCAGATCAAGATGACGTGTCAAGCATTATCAACCAGTATCGCGTCCAGCAGGCAGCGTACGAACTGGTGACGTTCTTCACTACGGTTAACGTCTCCTCCACGATTCACAAAGCGAATAACTACGCTTCGTGTGAAGAGCAGTTGCGCACCATGTGGAGCGACCCGCCAGGGCTGTGCGCTTATGATCCAGATCTAGACGAAGCAAGAGAGAAGTGGCTGGCTAAGCAGGCACACAGGGCTACCATCGAAGTGTCAAAGACATACAAGTGGACACTGATCGATATGGAGTATGCGAGCGAGGACGCCAAGATAATCCATCTCGCCGAAGTGAACAAGTTCCGTGAGATGCTGTCGCGAGAGCACAACCTCGTTAAATCGCACCATGCGCTGGTCGAGTTAGTCCACAAAGACTTCTACACTAACTGGCAAGACTTGCCGCACATTACTCAGGATGCGCACAACATTGAGGCGTGCATGCAGTATGCGCTACAGTCTCAGTCAGCCGCTCCTCTCCGAGGTCAACAGCTTACGGTCGACGCTCTCAGGCATTCGGCAGCTGAGAAATGGGCACTGGACGTATATGAGGCTGCAGTATACGCTCTCCAGGCGTGGACGCAGCGCGGAGTGCCGCCGCCATCGGACTCGGATGGCGAGCGTCGCCCCTCGCGTGTGCCAATGGCACGAGGGGCGAGGACTCGACAGCCCGCTGCGACCGCCGCGCGGGCTGCGCGGTCCATCAGCCGAAAGCGGCCGCATAGTCCCTCGCCAACATCAGCGGCTAGGGTGGCGGCATATGAAGCGGCTGCGCTTCCGCAAGCCAAGGGTGGCACGGGCAGCGCGTCAAGCGGCGCTGCTCCACCGCCTCCAGAGGCTGCGGGAAAAGGCAAGGGCGGAAAGCGACAGAGAGAGAGACGGGGAGTAGCCGCGCGGCCTCCCCGCCCGCAGTCCGCCAATGCCGATGCACGGACATCCGCCAAACTGAATCTGGCGGCGCTGCGTCGTCGTCCTCCCAGCAAATTCCCGAGGCCCAACGCCACCCGTGGACTAGGGGCAAAGTCGACCCCCTGTTGACCGCGCCTGGAGTGCGTGGAGGGGCACCCACAGCCGCAGCTGGAGCAAAGGGCCAGGAAAATATCGTGGGAAGGGTGACTACAGCAACTGGTCCGACCGGCGCAATGACGACCGTGACCAGTGGCGCCGTGACGGCGGATGGCGCTGTTGAGCATCAGACGCCTAACGCCAATGGCGTTTTGGATGCTGTGCTGGTGCAAGCGCACGCTTTCGGCCAATGGCCGCACAGTGCGACGCAACTCGTATATGGGGTGGCTTGAGGCTGTGGGAGCTTCGCCCCTCATCAAAACATGATATCATCGGTCAATGGCCGGATGATCGATGCCACGCGAACGGCGGGCTGCTGGCGGCTGTGAGAGCCTCGCGCCCGCATTCACTCTAATTTGACGCCGTCGGGAACGAAGAGTCCCGATGGTAAGACGTCGGCCCTGGCCGGCGCTGCGGCCGGGCCGCCGCGGGGGGAGTCGTTACTATACGCTCCCTGCCGCCGTCGTTGTACATAGAATCACGCATGCAGATAGAGAGTTGGCTATCCGCAGCTTTCGAGGTTCGGGAAGCAAAAAGGCCCGCGCCCGCCCCGCGCGCGCGTGCTTATACTATTACACTTTCCTTACCCAACGCTTAACGGACACACTACTCCTTTGCAGCCCGCCATGTCCATGGACCCGCTAGCTTGGACCCCATGCAGTGAGGACTACCTTGCTTGACGATGTTGGCCCAGTTGGGCTTAAGATGGGTAAATATGGGCGGAGGAGGAGGAGGAGGAGGAGGAGGAGGAGGAGGAGGAGGAGGAGGAGGAGGAGGAGGAGGAGGAGGAGGAGGAGCAGGAGGAGGAGGAGGAGGAGGAGCATGAAGATACCATTCGTGTTTCCACGGCGTTCTAGGGGGGTGTCTGGGGGCCTCTGCTTCCGCCCCTTCGGTTTCCCTCTCCCGCTCTTCGTCCCCCCCCGTGGGAGGGGGGGAGGGAGGGAGGGCGTCAGAGCTGGAGGGAGGGAGGGAGGCAAGAGGGATGGAAAACTGGAGGGAGGGAGGGAGGGATGGCATTTCTTCCTGGCGGCCCTGGGCCGCCGCAGAGGCCGCCAAGGAGGCCACTGGGCGCGGTCTCTGGCTAGCGATCATCGTGGCGTTCCCGTGTCAGCCGAATCCAGACCCTGGCTGGCGAACCCTCTCCCCTGGGGTGGGCACCGTTCAACGATGTGCCATGTTGGGGCTGGTGTGTGTGTGTGCGCGCCGGCTCCCACTATTTGCAGAGCGCTTCTGGCCGGACACGCGGCTGCGCAGGGAGGGAGGGAGGGAGAGATTTCTTGTTGGCGGCGCGCACAGTGGGCTGGGGGGAGGGGTGAAGGCTTCTTAGGAAGAGGCTGCTTCTTGGAAGGCGCCGGTTCTAATCTGTAGACAGGGCCCGCGCCTTCTAAGAAGCAGCCTCCTAAGAGGCCTTCCCCCCTCCCGCCCCCCTTGTGCGCGCCGCCAAGGTTGGGGGTTGCCAGATGTGACTTTTGGCCCAGTCTGGCCCCGGCCCAGACAGCGTCCAGAGCATTTCTCAAGAGGTCTGGGGTGGACCTAAACGGTGTTTTGGTGATTTCGTGGGCCGTTTCCGTTTCGACGTCGTTTTGCAGCAAAGGCGAAGTCACGACAAATCGAAGAAAAACGGGAACAAAACGAAAACGTGAAACACCGTTTAGGTTCAGCCCTGCACGAGGTCCATATGGGGCCTCTTTGGGGGCTCCGAGTGGCCCGCGAGAAGCAGGGGGCACGCGGGGCCACGCTTGCTTCTCGGGCAGCCTCCGAGAGCCAGTTCGGACGAAGAGCAGGGCGTTTGTTTTGTTTTGCCACCCGCGGCCAAAGACCCACGAGCATGGGCGAAGAGTTGATAGGATGAGATCGGCCACTGAGGCCACAATCTCCCCCCCGCATTAGTCCGACGACCCCGAGCTCATCTCGCCTTCGCGAGGGCGGGGTCACGAATTCTGCTGCGTGCAGTCGGTTTCGGCCTGCCGCCGGGCGCCTCCCTCGACGCACGGCCGCCTGCAGCGGCAGGGAGGCCAGCAGCGTGCAGCCGGCCCGCTCGCCCCTCCTTGGCCGTCCTGCCCCCATTCGTCCGCTCCGAGAGGTCGGGGGAGGGAGGGGGTGGGGCGGGGTTGGCGAGGGAGGCGTGGGTTTGGGAGCATCCTGGCCTCGCCCACCCCTGCGCCCGAGGAGGGCTTCAGCGAGGGGGACACCATCGTCATCGCTGGCGCAGGGCACTCAGAGGTCCTCCTCCTCCTCCTCCTCCTCCTCGTCCTCCTCCTCGTCCTCGTCCTCCTCCTCCTCGTCCTCGTGCTCCTCCTCGTCCTCGTACCCTCCTCAAAGGTGAGCACGATCTCCGCATTCGGATCATTCATTCTCGACGCGCCTTTGGAGAATAGCTACCCTGTGGGCTCCCTAGTCACGGTTTCTACACCGGCGGACACGCCCGAGTCGGAAACATCTTCGAGCGCAGTTATCATAGTTGCCGTAGTGTCTTGCGCTTTCTGCTGCATGGTCGGCATCGCAGGCTGGCTGATGTCAAGATATTTCAGAAACGACAAGTTCAGGGCTAGATCTTCAGACGGCCCTGCATTAGATCCTCCCGACCTAGTTCAGCTGAAGGTGGGCGATTGTTCAGGTGGGCTTGCACATGAGGAGACGGTGGACGATACTTCGGATGGGCTTACGCTGGCCCAGGTGGAGACCGACAAGCAGCTTAAGAGTAACACACGGGCCTGGTGGAAGAACGCAGGGTCTGGCAAATTCGCGACGGTCGTTTCAGAAGGCCCCGAGAGGAATCTCGGTATCCCAGCGCAGGATGGCGTTGGCATGTACTTCTGGTTCATTTCCCGCAGGAGCTTTCTGGGCCTGTCTGATGACCAGCGCCTTCCCCGTCACCAGACGTTAAGGGACGCAGGTATGCTGGAGCGCCTGTACATCACGGATCAAGACGTTATCAGCGGCAAGGCCAGGCGAGGCAAGGCTGTAGTTAGCCATCGTTGGAGCAGGGACAATCACATTGACCCTGACTGCGTTAAGCTGAAGAAGCTGAAACAAGTTTTGCGCAGTGACCCCAGCATCGAATATCTGTGGCTCGATTGGATATCGATACCACAGAAATTTCTCGATAACGGCATGGAAGGTTGGCATACTGATGAGGACAAGGCCGAACTCGACCTGACGTTGAAGAACGTATTGTCGTACCTCTACCTCGGGTGCACGGTGCTCTTGCTGTGGGACCCGGGCTGCAGCCACCGCTTCTGGACCAGCGCGGAGGTGTTGGGGGTATCAAGATGTACTATGCCCCACGCCCTTGCGTTCCTCCCCCTTCCAGGGCCGCCCTGGGACCGGCCCGAGCCTTTTTTTGACGGCCCCAGGGCCAGTCGAGGGCCCATGGAGGTCGACAATATGCAGAAACAAAACATTCCCGTCAAGATGTTTTCGCGATGCGAGGGGTCTGGGGAGGATGGGCATGAGAGTGGAAATGTTCTTGTCCCCCCAGGCTTGGACGTCCATGCGCGCGGTGAGCGAAGAGGGGGTCGTTCCGGCGTGCAGCGAGCGCCTCCGCCTGCAGGTCTTCGTCATCAGTGGAGACACGGGCGCTCAGAGGAGGAGGAGGAGGAGGAGGAGGAGGAGGAGGAGGAGGGAGAGGGAGAGGGATGAGGAGGAGGAGGAGGAGGAGGGAGAGGGATGAGGAGGAGAGGCGGAGGATGGAGGAATTCGGAAGGCTTCGGGTTGTGCAGAGACAGCCGCCCCAGGTACTCCTGGCTGGCCTCAACAGGCCCACCGAGTAGTCCTGGGCGGTCTCAACACCCTGGCGCCGTCTGGCGCCGCCCTTGGGGCGCTCCGTGCTTCATTGGAGTGTTGAGACCCCGCAGACTACTCAGGGGGCCTCTTGTGGCCAGCTCATGGGGGGGCTGTCTGTGCGCGACCCGAAGCGTTTGCAGGAGGAACTCGGTAAATCAGAGATGCGCCAGTGATGGTGCAACGGGGCCTCTCGTCCCAGGCCTCCTCCCCACAAGCGTTGCTTGTCTGCTGCTGGTAAGCGCCTCCCCGAAGTGCGAGCGCCTTTGGGTCCGCCGTGCGGGCGAGAGCCCGTTTTCAAAAGGGTCCACCGCCCATCTTTGGAAGCCATCAGAACTAGAAACAGGTGGTTCCAACACATTACCTCTGCAGCGAGAGCTTCGTTTTGAACAATGAGCCATTTGTCATAGAAGTCGGGAAGGCCCAAGCGAGAGCCCTTTTTGGACAGAAACCAGCCCTGCATCAGTGTTTTCTGGGGGCGCGGGGGGGGACAGCATTCATGGGCCAGTAATAACACCAAACGAAGTTTCAAGGGAGTGCCACATGTTGGACACGGAGCCGCCCTCCATCCGTATAGCTGCGGCGCTAAGGCGTGAGCCACACTTTGAGAACGACCCGCCATCCATCCGTGTAACCGTTGGAAGCTTTCCAGGCGAATGTGCGTAGATCCGAGGCCAGAAGTTTCAGTCTGGAACCCTACCACCGTGTATTTCTGTAGCCTTTGGACATCTCATGCTTCATGAGCTCAGTCTGGTGCGGGGGTGTCAGGCGAAGCGTCAGGCCCGCTCTGCGGGCACGTCTGGTGCTGCGGCGGAGAGAAGCTGCCTGCGCGGAGGAGGAGGGTGCCGTTGCCTTGGGGAGCCGCCGCTGCCGAGCTCGTAACCATGCGCCAAGGGATTTTGCTTAGCGTGTCGCGCGGCTGATTCTTGCCCACCACTCTGTGGCGCGGCGCGCCGTCAACACTCTACAGTCGACCCGCAGAATAAGGGTACCCTTGCATCCTTGCTTCCTGTGTCCATCCTTGGCCACTTTCGTCGGCCGCGCCCCGCTCGAAACGCTTCGAGATGGGCGTACAAGGGCCTTGCATCCTTATCGCGCATCCTTACTCTGCGGGTTGACTGTGTGTGGTTCCAGGCCTTCAGTGCGACGCGTTTTGCGTTTCGAACGCAACTGAGCAACATTTTCTTCACCGCGGAGAGTATTTGGTATTACTTGGTGCGGCGCGGTGGCGAAGGCAAATGCCACGTTATGTAGGACGACGATGAGAAGACATGCCCAGAGGGGCCAGTCACGCCTCAGCGCCTTGGGAGACGATTCGTGTTATGTGTTCTAGGACTGCTGCTGGGCGTCGTCGTCGTCGTCGTCGTCGTGATTTTTCTGTTCGTCCTCTCCAAATCAATCCCGGCAGCGGACATCTCGGCACACCCGAAATCGGTACGGATAGGAAAATACCATGCCCAACCGCAAATGTTGTCCAACACCTACAGTGGTCGCTGTTGAGCAGGCGACCTTCTGTCTCAAATGGACCGCGTTCGCGGCGACACCGGCATCGAATCCTGTTCAAGATGGGCAAGAATTGCTGTCTGTCGTCGTCGCCATTATTTCCGTACCCCTCTCGATCAACCAGAGCATTTTTTTTTGTCGCATCGCCCCCGTGGCCTTCTCTTGAGCGTCATCCTGCACGTTCTGTTCCCCCCCCTGAGGCATCGGGAACGACGCCGCGCGCGAGCACGTTGCCGACCTCTGGCTGCACAGGTCCGCGCAGGAGGCGGCCGCGGCGCTCGGGGGTGGCGAGTACGCCGCCTCGGTCGCTGGGGACAAGGCCGTCGGCATCGAGGCCATCCTCAGGCTCGGCGGGCGCGTCCAGGTGCCCGGGCGCCTCCTCCACCCACATCCTCCTCCTCCTCCTCTTCCTCCTCCTCCTCCCTCCTCCTCTTCCTCCTCCCTCCTCCTGCCTCCTCCTCCCTCCTCCTCCCTCCTCCCTCCTCCTCCCTCCTCCTCCACCCTCCTCCTCCTCCTCCTCCTCCTCCTCCTCCTCCTCCTCCTCGATCCGTGCAAAGATGGATGACGACGGGAGGTCTTCGGCCATCTTCGGCCCTTGGGGGACCTCGCCAGCCTCCGTCGGTGTCAAGCATCGACTCGGGACGAGAAACCGATCCCGGGGGAGTGGGTCGGGGCATTTCTGTGGGTCGACGTTGCGAAACAAACAAGACGTCGGCGTCCCTCGTCGCCACGGTTGGGCTCGCCCCGAAGTCCCAGTCAGAACGCGACCCGGGAGAGAGGTCCGCCGAGCAGCCGTGCAAGACGTCTTTGTTCCCCACATCCTGAGTGGGGTTCTTGGTTTCCCAGAGCACCCTCCTCCTTCCCCACCTTCCCACCTGCCCACCTCCCGTTCCCTTTTCCATACCATCCGTACAATACCATACCATACCATACCTACCACATCATAGCTACCATACGATACCTTCCATGCCAATCCATACCATAGCTGCCATACAATACCATACCTTCCACACCATACTATACCTTCCCACACCTCCAGGGGGGCCCGCCTGAGCGAGCAGGGTATTCGAAAACCATACTATTTATGAGGTTTCCGTACCCCTCGCACCCCTCCAAGGAGGCCCCGCCTGAGCGAGCAGGGTATTCGAACACCATACTATTTATCAGGTTTCGTGCCCCTCCCACCCCTCCAGGGAGGCCCCGCCTGAGCGAGCAGGGTATTCGAATACCATACTATTTATCAGGTTTCGTGCCCCTCCCACCCCAGAGTGACGACCACGAGGGGTGAGACTGCTCCAGAGTGACGACCACGAGGGGTGAGATACTGCTCAGAGGGGCGGCCTGCTCCTGCAATCGCTTGATCTCGATAGTCAGTGGAGTTCCCAGCTGTGAATACGCGTGACAACACTGGTGCCGAACGACGTCGGCACCATCCTCATCGTCAACCATTGCCATCATCAACACTTCTTTCTTCCACGCCCTCTTCTCCTCCCTCCCTGCCTTATCGGCATTCCTGCTCTTGCTTGCCCCAACTGCCCATTCTGCACTGCTCAGGTTCATGCTGCCGAGCACGGCCTTCGACTGCCGTCATTCGCCAGCGCTGTCTCGCCCCCTCCTCCCCCTCCCCCTTCTGCTCCTCCCCGCCCACCTCCTTCATGTCGTCGTCGTCCTCCTCCTCCTCCTCTTCCGCAGGCCCCGCCCGGAGTTCCCGGGCACGACGGCCGCAAGGTCATCGGACATACCGCGACGCGACCCAATTGTTGACCCTTCTCTTACCCCCAATCAGCCCATCCTGAAACGAAGCTCTTGGGAGCTAATGAGGAAAGGAGGGCGACATTCTAGGTGACAGTGTGACCCACGGGAGGGCGCCGGGAGATCTCCAGGTGCATGACAGAGTCTTCGAATGCTTCCCGCGGCAATCCTTGACACCTCCGCACGAGGCACGCGGGGACAGAGGGCGATATCGAAGACACCGAAGATGTGGAGGAAAGGGAGGAGGAGGGGGAGGATAACGAAGAGGGCAAACAAGAGGAAACTAAGAACAACGAGGAAGAGGAGGAGGAGGAGGCGGAGGACGAGTAGGAGGAGGAGAAAGAGGAGGAGGATGAGGAGAAGGAGGAGGAGAATGAGGACAAGGAAAACGAGGAGCAAAAGAGTGATGATGATGGGGGAGGCGCACAACGACGAAGAGGAGACAGAGGAGGAGGAGGAGGAGGGGGATGATAGAAGAAGATGGAGAAGGCGAGGGCGGGTGGCAGACAAGAAGCCAAGTAACCCCGTAGCATTCTGATGTGGGGAACTCCGTTAGCATAGTTTTTGTTATCCTCTGGCGCTAACGGGCGTGTCGTGGGGGGATGGGACGGGGGTCCGTCACGTCGCGATTCGCGCCAGCGCTGTCTGGGCATGCCCAGTAATGATTACGGACAGCTCAGATAACAGGTTTCAGTCAGGGGTTGCTATGGCGCAGCGTGCGCCATGCTATGGGCTTGCAAGGGCCTGATATGAGTAGCTATGGCTCTCCCAGCGCAATGTAGGGGATTTGCGGATGAGAAAAGATGGTTTTGATTTCGCCCTCCCTCCCACCCTCCTCTTCCTGGCTCCTCCCTCACCCCTCTTCCCTCCTTCTTCCCCGCGTCGTCGTCGTCCTTATCCTCCTCCTCTTGTCGTTTCCGTTCTCCTCATTGTACTGTAAGTTGCCTCGCGCAAGGAAGGCGGGAGTTAGAAGCAGGGAGGGGGACGATGGAGGCGGGGCCAGGCCGAAACTACATGTTTGATTTCACTATCGATTCGTGCTCTGGGAGGAGTCCGGGCGCCCCTGTGCCTGAGGGAGGAAATGGCCTCGTAGTCGTCGTCGTCCTCCTCATCCGCTTCTTCTCGTCATCCTTGTCCTGCTTGTGTTCCAAGCCAAACGTTGTGTGGTGCTCGCCGGCGCCACTGGTGCTCGCAGGTGCACGCTCTGCCCTCTCCGAGCTGGGAGGCTCGCATTGTAGGTTCGTGTTCCCCTTTGTTCCGGGTAGTCTCGGGGCTCTCGTGGCTGTCGTGGGCGCCTTGCTGGCTGCCTTGTCGTGGGGCGTCGGAGGCTCAAAACGGCGAGAACCCCAGCACATTGAATGACCTAAGGAGCCGCACGGCTTTTTTCGTTTCGGGGTCGTCTTGGGTGCCTCTTGGGCGCCTTCTTTGGGCCTCCTGGGACCTGCTGGGGGCGTTTTCGGGCGGACAGCTCGAATTCTCGGTTCGTGTCCCCCTTCTCGGGGCAGCCTTGGGGCCCCTGTGGGCAATTCTGGAGCTGTCTTCGAGCCCTCTTTTGGGTCGAGCCCTCTTCGGCCGTCTTGGAACTGTCTTGGGGGCCTCTTGGGCAGTCTTGGGGCAGTCTTGGGGGCCTATTGTGCTGTTTCAACATCGGAAGCTCAAACATGCGAGAACCCCCGAAACATTGAACTTTGTACGGTGCATACATTGTTTTTCCTCTCGGGGCAATCTCGGGGGCCTCTTTGGGCCTTCTCGGGGCCTTCTGAATCCTCTTGGGGCGGCAGGCTCGATTTGTCGGTTCGCGTTCCCCTTCTGGGGCCCTTCTTGGAGCCATCTCCTTGGGCAGTCTTGGGTGACTTCGTAGGCCTTCTTGGAACCCTCGTGGGCGTGGGCCGTCTTGGGGTCATCTTGGGCGCCTTTTGGGCCGTCCTGGGGCAGGGCCGTTTGGGAGCGTCGGAAGCTCAAAAAGGCGAGAACTCCCAAAACATTGAGACACATTGAACATCAATGACTTTTGCCTCTTGAGACCCTCTTGGGAAAGCTCAGGGGGCTCTCTGGGGACGCCTCGAAGACATCTGGGGCCGTCTTGAAGCCAATCTGGGCCGTCTGGAGGCACGTTGGCCGTCTGGGCGCCATACCGGGCCGTCTTGGAGCCATCTTGGCCTCTGGTGCACGAATGTGTCGGTGTGACGACAGGTGGTTGGCTCTTTGAACACTGCAGGAACCCTGCCGGACAGCACTTGGCATTCTAGCACGTTCCAACGTGCCAGGGAGCACGGTGGCCCATTCATAGCTTGGCGCACGCTCTGCCGTGGCAGATTCTCATAGGTACCGGCTATTCGAGCTGCCCTTAGCTATTCTTGGGCATTCCCAGACGGCGCCAGAGGCGGGGGCGGCGGGGCTTGTCACCAGCGCTGTCGCGAATCATGAAATTTCGTTCAATCGGCCGATTTTTTCGCCCCACCAGGATCGGCAATGGACCGCTCCTTGCGGCGCCTCCGCCGCCGTCTCTGGCGCGCTCCGCGCGCCAGGGAGGGGGTGTCCAGCGCGGATCCCAAAAATCCACGCGCATTCCCGAAAGCTGATGGTTGTGCAGATGTCCCGCGGCACGCGCAAGAGAGAGGGCTGCGCGAGAGTGCCGGCCTTCACGAATGCGGGGGAAAGGGCACTTCTTTTGGGGGCAGGGGCTGCCCCAGCAGGGCGTCGGGGGCTTCTGAGAAGCCATCTCGCAGGCCTGCTGGGGCCCCTCCTCCCCCCCCTCCTTCTTCCTCCTCCTCCTCCTCCCCCTCCTCCTTCCTCCTCCTCCTCCTCCTCCTCCTCCTCCTCCAAGGCCACGGACTGCTCAGGCCCGCAGCCACATGCGGCCTTCGCATCCGATGGCCTCCCCCGACCGCGAGCCGCCAGGCCCGCTTGGGGGAGGAGCAGGGGCCCAGCGCGCTGCTGGCGGCGGCGCTGCGCTCCGCTAGGGGCGGGGCGTGCTGGCAGCGGGCAGCCGGGATGGAGGGAGGAGGAGGCAGCAGCAGCAGCAGCGACGGACCAGGCTGCAGCACAGGAAGGGCAAGGGCGAGGACGAGTGAGACGACGGGCACCACGGGTACGGGGACGGCTGGGCCATGTGGAACATCACCATCACCAACACCATCATCATGGCTTGTGCACGCCTCCTTCGTAGGGTACAACGCTTACACGTTGATGCGTACAGGTCGTACGGAGAGCCTGGGACTTGAATTTGCTAGAGCATCGGCGATCTTCGTTCCTGGAACAAAAATCCCTATGAAGCTCAACCAGCAGCACCACTATGAGCGTACCCCCGAGTTCCACTGGATACACTGGGGGTGGGGACGGTGGTCAAACACGAATGCGTCGGCGGGCGTCTCTATTGCGGTCTCGGCAAAGTTATACCAGCCCCGACATATTATTCGTATAACATACCCACCACCACACCTTCAGGGGCGAGCGGGTTGTGTAGATATCGAGAGAGGTCCCCAGAGATTTCGTCTTATCGTGGGATACTACCCGCCTCGATGTTCATCAGCACGCCGCGCCCCCTGCTGGCGGGCGACATGCAAGCAACTTACCTCGTGGATCAAACAGCAGGCCGACAGCGTCCCAACA